CTGACCTATGTGACTACCATGATCCTATAGCCTATTACCTACTGATTTTGCAATGACATGACATTTTTCTTTGCCCTAAATTCAGCTTAGCATGTTTGCATGCTCTTTATATGTGCTGAACTTTCCTCCAAAATGGCTTTCAATTTTGATTAATTTTAGACTTCCTTTTGTATAGGTTTGATTGATTTCTTTCCTTGTTTGCTGATTTCCCTGTGACTCGATTTAAGTTAAAAACTCTCCTCAGCTTTTCCGACTTGGTTCATTCATGGACCAGTGATTACAAAATCTCTGATCCTTGATTTACCGTCTACTACTTGATTTTTCTTACCTTATTTACGTAACCGTGTATTTCAAAGTTCAGCCCTTAAATAAACTCCTATGTATTTACCCCTAAATGCCTAATTTGCACCAGGTGCTTGTTTGATCTCTTTCCTTAAACAATTTTATTACTCATTACCGTTTAAGTCCGAATTCCTTAATTAAAGGAAGTCTTGTACTGATTGATTTTAATTGATACCCAGTTCCTTAATTGTTTTCTTACCTTATTTCTGCCTGTTTTTCACACTATAAGTACATGACTCTTTCATTAACGGACCCATCACTGGCGGTCTTTCCAAACTTACACTTACACTCAAAAACTATTCTCTCTTGTTTGCTTATACTGTGGCCTACTACAAGACCCGTTGCTTGCTTTCTCTCTATTTGTTTCTTTGAAACTGGTATGTCCTGATTTAAGTTTCAGCACCACAACAATGTGATTATTTACTGCTTTAGTATCCCTGTTTACTGCTTATGTATAGTTCAACACTCATTCTAGCATGAATCCAAAAACCCCTACCCCCCTATGTGTTTAAGCTATGGTTTGAGGCATGGCAATACTGCAAGTTATTGTCCATGAATCAGACTTGATCCCCTGGGATCCTAGCCTCTAATAGTATGTGTTCTAACGGGCTTATAGGTATGCTAGCACCCTCCATTGCTGGGCATGCCTGAAGTCTGCCCTTGCCTAAGCAATAGGCTCTTTACAATCTCCCCTCTCCCCTGCACCCCTTATGTGTGCTTACTTGTTGTTGTTCCCTCTCCCTTTCCCCTTTAGCATTTTGTTCTGCACTTGCACACACTTTCTTAGTCTTTAAGTTCTGCCCCCCTCTTGTGAGCCCTGCCTTGGGACCCTTTGAGCTCCCTCTGAACTTGGACACTTGAGGGCTGGCCCTTCCACACAACACTTATCCCCAATCTGATAATACATGTGAGTGTGAGCATTGCCCGGAGTCCCTTTGAGGCTCTTAGGGAACTTTGACACACTTAAATGGGAGAAAGGCTTTGGATCATGATCTCTTGGAGTTGGTTTACCTCATATTTCAGACATGAAGTCTGAATCAGGCTCTCCTTGGTTGTACTTTTATTTATTTATTTTGATGTATTTTACCTTATTCCGGGCAGTAATAATTGGTAATAAACTCTTGGGGATGGTTAGTGAAAAGGGACAGGTAACTATGTATGCAAAAAGGGTAGATATCATGCCTATAGGAATTTTGAATTCTGCATATGCACATAGAAATCATGCCTATAGGTCCTTCTGAATTTTGTACGCTCAATCGCACCTAGATATCATGTTCATAGGTCTTAAATAATCGACTGCACTTAGATATCATGTTCATAGGTCTTAAACAATTTCTGCACTTAGATATCATGTTCATAGGTCTTAAACAAAATTTAGCACCTAGATATCATGTTCATAAGTTTAAAACGAGTCTTCTGCATTTTATACCATGTTCAAAATCAACTACGCGTAGAAAGCATGTCTATAGGAATCCCTAATCGAATCTGAATCACTTCATTCACATATGGAACTAAAATCAATAACAACAGGTACTGTTAGCTGTAGAACTTATAATCTTCGTTAAAAACTGGCCTTTCTTTAACAATCTGATTCCTCTTTTAATCAGTATGTGTCCAGTTTACTTTAAACCTTGTTATTTCGTTGCTTTCTGAATTCAATAGATACCATGCCTATAGGATCCTTGTCCAACACTTAGGCAAGCCTTAGGGTAAAATTATAAATTAAATCAGTTATGTTAATAAATATAACCAGCCGGCAGGCCTGATTCGGGTTTCTTATCTGAATTGTGTAATAAATCAGTCTGCCTCAACCTTTGAGCTCTTGTATGTTTAGTACTTAATCAGACCTTAACAGTATGTGTAAGTCATGCTAATTACGTGTTTCTTCGTTTAAAGGGGGTATATTTGAGCCTTCGCTTGTTATGTGCTTTCTCCCAACTTGTTATACGTGTTTTGTATGTCGCCTTAGAATTTTTCCCCTTTGAAACCACAAATAAGCTAACATCCCTTCCCTTTAGGATTAGTAGTCCTCATGCCTCCGGGACTGATAGGATTGGGATGGGTAGTAGCATGCAATAGGTAAACGAGACCATTCCGCGCTTTAATACCTTAACGGGGTGGGAAGGGTAGATATGGATATGATGACCACGCGATAATGTCACGTGTAGCCCCATTGAGGAGTGATTATCGGGCATTGTGTGGGGTGATCCATATTATTAATAAGCCTAGAACCCCTCTCCCATTATTCTTTATTTCTTTCTTTTCAACATTTTAACTCTTTATTTTTAAAATCAGTTTTTTTATTACTCTTTCAAACCTTGTTTACTTTCAAACCTTTATATGATGAAATCCCCTCTTATTTGAGCCCTATTTGTTTATATGCTAATTGTACCCAAATTCACAATAATAGTCTGGCCGGGAACCACACTAGTGGATTCTGAGGGGTGCCTAACACCTTCCCCTTAGAATAATTTCAAGCCCTTACCCAATCTCTGGTTACTCAAATCAAATCTCCTCGGTGTCCTAATGCACCCTAATCATTAAGTGGCGACTCTTTAAATCTAACCAAATTCCCAAATGGAATGAGTTGTCCTCCCAAATGTCATAAACCCGATTTCGCGAGAAAAAGGGGGCGCGACAGCATGGCGACTCTGCTGGGGATATTTAGGCTTTTACCATTTCGGACTATTAATTCTGAATTTATGCTCCTTTATTACTTGCTTATTTCCTTCAAGCATTTAATTCCCTCTTCAACTACAAAACTGACTTGTCTTTTGTTTCTTTCCTTTACTGCTTTCCTTTACTACTGCTTTAAATTATGAAAACTGTTGTATTTACTGCTTTCTTAACGTGTAAATACGTGACAACATGTCTTTAATTATTGCATAATCATGCTCAACATCATATTCCACTCGTGCCAAACAAATACCCTAGCAACGCTTATAATGAGTGGTTGCGCTCTTCCGATATTATCACCCCCTAAATCCGAAAAAGGCATATTTGCGGTAAAACCAGTCGATCGACGGTGTAGTTGACGGTTCCGTGCCTTTCCCCCTTGAGTTGTCCGCTCAAGGGTACCAGTCTAAAACCCCATAGAAACCTTACTCTGTCTAGATTGTGCATGCATCATGGTCAAACCTAGCCGGGTCAGTTATGTTGTCCACATAATGATCCTTTAAGATAGCCCTGTCCAAAGTCCACTGGGTTTCCCTAAACCCAAACGGACATCATCACGTTCTGTGCATCTATTTGGAGAACTAAATGCTTCGTGCTAATTGTTGATATTAAATAGTCGAGTCTGGTGGGGGTAGGGTCTAACCCTTTTGTTTTGCAGAAAATGAGGCACGAGGTCCCCAGTTTCGGTATGATTAGCACACCCCCACTCTTGCTAGACTGGTGGAGGAGTCTTCCATCAAATGACCAAATCAATGAGTGGAAAGAGAGAGCTACCAAAGCTAGCGAAAAGTTGGAATATCTGGAATACAGTCTGCTAGAATTGGAAGAAAAAGTGAGGAGGAGAGTCACCGACTGCCAGAACTCTGAGGGAAACGAAAGAGAACACCTAGCAAAGGCATTTTTACTGGTGAACCTACGAGAGCTGGAGGACCAACGAGAGCATTCAACCTGGGGAAGGTCCTTCAGGGACCAAGTAGATAGGATTTTATCTTTTCGCTATATAAAATGTAATAAGGCCAATGGCCATTAATGATTTTTCATATCCTGTTTATTTAGTGTCGATTTGAGATTCGTCTTACTTTTTATCAATAAAATGAGGCATTTAGCATCCTAAGTTCTCCAAATAAATTTGTCGCTAGGCCTACCTCGGGCACAACGAGGCCCCCAAATTAGGACACGATTTACATTCCCGCACTATGTGTTTAAATACTGCAATACTTTTTATAATCCTTACTAACTTGGTTACCTTTTTGTTTTACTTTTGTTTTTATTCCCCTCCCTAAAGGTTAGTTCGTGCACTCTGGAATCATCATCTTATTCCACAAGATCTAGAGGGGCATACCTCAACAGTTGGACCATCAGAACAACCAGAGCCCGGCGAGCCTCGGGGTAGCAAGGCTAAAACAAGCATCATGCACTGTTTTTATTTTCTTTTTGCATTTTTATGCCCACAATAAGATCTTCAATGTTCAAAACAATTATGAAATTTATCAAAGCATTTCGATTTTCCTTATAAACACTTTTATTATTTTCTCTCATTACTTTACTTATACAACATTACTATTACTTATCTTGATGAACCGATGACTGTGACATGCAATGAGACAACGAAACAAATGGACATAGATTCAGAGGAAGATGACATATCGGAGGAGATTGTTAAGGAAGTTGAGAATTTTGAAAACAGACCAAAGTCCAACCTGGACGAGACTGAGGTTGTTAACCTGGGAGATGCAGAAAACGTCAAAGAAACACAAATCAGCGTCCACTTATCACTACAAGAAACTTGGCTTTTAACGATTATTTTTTAACGAAGGGACGTGAATCCGGTCGTTATAAGTACACTTTTAAAGACCAACAATATTTCCGGTCGTTAATGACGCTTTTTAATTCTACAATAACAAAAGAATAATATCCGGTTCATTAATATTAAGATATCCTGTCGTTAATGGCTATGAGGAATTTGGGGGACATATCCAAAATAAAAAAGCGCCAAATTTTCTGTTCTTTTCATTCACTCCATTCAAAGAACCCTAAGCCCCAAATTGCAAAATAAGGATGGCACAGACTCTCTACTACCACTGCCTTGCTGTCCTCCCTCTCCAATTGGTGCTCTCTCTCTCTCTGAGTGTGTAATGTGCTTAACTGAAGTTCAATTTTACTTTGATTTCAACTCAGTTGATTTCTAAGGTTTCACGGTTGGTATTTTCTTCAATTTAGGATTCATAATAGAAGAAATATACATAGTTTAGAATTGTTGGGAAAGGATGTTATTAAGTATTAACATTGCAAAAACACTGATCCTTACTTCAGCCTGCACACTGATAATGGTTTTATTGTGAACAATTGAATAAAGAAAGATAATCAAAAGAATATATGCAGATGTGTATATAGATAGATTCTTATTTAATTCCTTTGCAGAACCTTATCTAATGTGATTATTAATATTTAATTCCTTAAAGAAAGAGGATGGGTTGAGAATGTGAAGATGCCAGATGTGTATACTTTCTTGCAGTATTTGGTAACTTTTGGGATAGTGAAGTATGAGGATTTTGATTTGTACAGGAAATTTATTTGCGTCTGCTTGGAGGAAACAGATGCCTAAATTGGATGTCTCTCTTGGACATGGTGATAAAATGCCTAGTAATTTCTTTTTTGTGTTATGTTATATTATTTTGTTCATATTATTGCTTTGGCTTGAGAAATAGGAGTAATTTCTCAAAAAAGCTATGTGAGTTTCCCCATCTGTCCAAGCATTGATAAGAGTTACCCGGTGCCTGTACTGGTGGAAGATAACAGTACCCGATGGAATAGTCGAGGTGCACGCAAAATGGCCCGACACCGCTGTCATAAAAAAATAGAGTACTTTGTCTTTCATAGTCTTATAGTTTGATGAAATAAGCTTAATTTAAGAGAAATGCATAGTGAGGAACTAGCTTTTTTTTTTGGTGTGGTTTGTCTTCTGTTTAGGTGGAAAAGATTAACATGTCATAAGTAAATTCTTAGGGAATTTTACCTGTGCTTGTGACTTTTGAGTAGGTCTGCAGTTGAAAGGTCGGGTTAGTTTGGAAGTTTAGGTGATTAGTGGCTTTGACTTGAGAGATCATTTTACTGTTTACCCTTTTTATTCATATCTGTGATTGAGTTTGTTATGGGATGTGTTCTTGGAGTTAAATTGGACTACTTTCTACTGATATCCGCTATATGTGTTAGTAAATCTTACTTTATAAGGTCTAATCTCACATTAGATAAGTGTATCTTTGCAAGGGATACAGAAATCCTAAGTTTGAACTGCCAAGTTTGCTAAAGCCAGAAATCCCTCAAGTGCCCAGAAGCCTTGAGCGTGAGGTGTATAAACTCTCTTTTGCCTCATTGAAGCAATCTTGAAATTTACACTTCATTGTATCATATGAATTATGATCAAATATTTTTTTGTTATTCTTGAATCATTTAAAGCGTTCTTTCTGGACGGATTATTTATGTGATATTGTGTCCTCAGTTGCACCTTCCTGTTGGAAGAATTGTTTATGTGATTGTTCCAATGTGTCATCAATTAACTAATGTATTTATGTTCTAGTGGCATTATATACACATCATTTTAACTTAATTTTCCTACTTTATAAAATTCCTCAGCTTAACAAATTTCTCTTGGCTGCATCACTTTCATCTTTTTCCTCCAAAATATCATAACAAATCAGAATGCGATGTTTGACAGAACCGAGAACATTTTGCTAGAACTATCTCCTACTGCTTGAAGTTTCATTTTCTAGTAGAAACTAGAAAGATACAATTCTAGTAGTATGTCAGAAGGATGTATCTCTTCGCTATGAATGACGTGCTATTTGCTTTCTGGGACATGAATGATGTGCTATTTAACTGTTAATTTATTGATAGCCTTAACTTGATTTAATGCATTTGATTTCTTAATAATGTGTAGATATGCATTGAGAAGAAAACTATTCTATCGGTTGAAGACATTCTTGCTCTTATTGGAGATAGGTGTGATGGAGTCATTGGACAGGTGATCGTACATGCATTATAGCTTGTGATTTGGTTTCGAAGTTTGCTTCCTGTTTTCTTCTGAATGATCTGGATTTAACTATTTTACTCTGTTATAACAGTTTATAATAGAATCTTTTTGGATGGCTATGTTAAGTGTTAAGTGTCTCACTTTAGCCGAGGGACTTAGTTGTCCTTATATAGTTATATTGTCTTAGGCAATACGCACCTCGTGAGTTAGGTTTGGATAAGTTAATCCTAAGGTCCTTTTTTTTAACATCGTATGGTACCACACTCATCTCAATTCTTAGTTTACCTGATATTGAGCTCCCATATTATATTGTCCACCAGGGGCAGATTTTTTTTTGTGGGGGGGGGGGGGGGGAGGCAAATATTGATTTGTACCTCTGTATATTATATTTTGAATCTCCTTGATGTAGTCCAAAAGCATAACTCAGTGGCTAAGGGGGTTCAACACCTTTGTTAGGTTGCTAGTTCAATTTCTATTGGCCACAGTCTCTTTTAATTTGTTAATTTTTATTCTTTTGAATCCCTTAATGGAAATCCTATCTCCATCACTTACTGTCCACGCACCAAATGTCACGTGTCCAATATTGGTTGAAGGAACGAGCTAGTTTTTAGGTTGAATTAGTTATTTATAGTTATCTTTTGATGACCTAGTTATACAAAAATAATTTTTAAACTATCAGTGTATAGAAGTTGACTCAAATACTTTTGTTTTCTTGGGTTTTGTAATATTCAGTTGACAGAGGACTGGGGAGAGACACTATTCTCTGCATTAAGCAGGGCTTGAGGGAAAGCTTTCAGTAACATGGCTGTAGGATACAACAATATTGACGTTGAAGCTGCTAACAAGTACGGTGTTGCTGTTGGAAACACACCTGTAAGTTTATACTTCTTCATATTTGCTTTGTAGTCATCCAGTTTTATTGATACTGCAATAATCAGTAACTTCATGCTTGTAAAGAATATGGAGTTACCAGAGGAATACTCAAAATGTGGAAAAAGTGCGAGTCCAAAATCATATCAAACATATCCTGTATTTTTTTTAGTAACTCAAAGAAAGAAGTAAAGTAGACTGGTCATGCGTAGCAGTTTATGTCTGAAGTACACACTTCTAGCTGTTAGTACCAGTAATCATTTTAGAGTTTATGAATGTCCGTGCTTAGCTAGCTTTCCTTGAATAAATCTTGTGATTTAGCATGGATCCGTAGTTCATTTTTTTTGTGTGTGTGTGGGGGAAGGGGGGGCTGAAAGGGGGAGGAATGTTCTAGTTTTGTACTTTTTCTTTTTTTTGGCAAATTATACTACTAGGCGTGCCTAGTAGTTATTTTATTAATAATAAAAAAGAAAAGTACAACACATAGGGAAAGTACAAATAAGGGGGACAATAGCACCAGTGGTGTTACCTATATGCCTTGGCTATATAATCACTCCCCTACGCCTTACATTGCCTTATGAGGATCTGCCAATTTTTGGCAAAGTTGGTGATCCAACTGAAGCAAAGTCTTCACCTTCACTATATTGATCATCATCCTCAATCGAATTCCCAGCATACTCATCACCCCAATCCTCTTCATCATCCTCCTCATGTTGGTCAGCCCAATTTGGATTCGATAACCATCTTCCTTACATTTGCCTGTATAACTTCGTTGTTATTTCCAGTGGACAGCATCAACTGCCCTGGTTCACCTCCATATTCACTATAAGACTCCAAAGACTGTGATGGTACTTCAAAAACTGAGGTGTTCAAAGTGACCATTGGTTGTTTAACCATATTAGTATTCATCATCATTGCATTTTGAGCCTCTTTGATGATTTGTTCCACTTGAGGGTTGGAAAAATGCCGTGTAGGAGTGTTAGAACTGTGTGCCTTGCCCGTTGGCTCCTCTCGAATAATCAAGTCGTTTATCAAATTTCCACTGCCTTGATCTCGTTTGCTACTGCTGGAAATTGGAATTGAATGTTGCTGCTGTTTTGCAGTGGCTTTAGATTGCCTCGATTTTATATTTGACTCATGCTGACCTTGCTGCCCGTCCTTCCAAACATCTTCCAGAACTTGTTCATTCATCAAAGCCTCATACGAGTTAGAAAGAGTAACATTTTTTGCTGTAGTGGACTGAGTGTGAGGACTTTGTACGATTTACTACTGCCCAATTATTATTTTTGACTGATCCAATATTTGAAGATCTGCTATTGGACTTGATGCTTTTTCAATTAAATCAGCATGTGCAGCAGTAGGTTTCACAACCCCAGCAGCAACTCGATTTGTCTTCAATGTAACAGCAGCCCCTAAATTTGAACCTTCAGCAGATCCACGATCTCCTTTAACAAGATCTCCCTTGTCAATTTTCTGTCCTTCCCTATTAGCATCAGTAGCTTTAGAAGCTAATTTAGTAACCTGTTGATCCTTAGCTTTTCCTTTGTCACTAGAAGTTTTCCCAACACCTGGAACATCTGATCCAATATCAATAGCAGCATCTAGACGATCTGCTTGTACAGCTAATTCAACATTGGAAGATGTATGATGTTATCACCTGTACCAGTCACATTGTGCAAAGTATCAAATCCTTCCATTTATTGCATCTCAGCATGCTTAACAGCATCCATCCCAGCTGCTGCATTATGCATTGCTGGACCATCAGCATATCGACTATCATTTCCAGGTAATGCAACAGTTGTTGCCTTACTCACTGCATTGTAGATTGTTGCCAAAGCTCTTGTAGCAGGGTTATCAGCTGGAAGTTTTTTTTTCACAATAGCAGGAGCTGCAGCAGATGTGCCTGACAAATGCATCACCTGCTCAGCCTGTTCAACACATGTTTGATCAACCAGTGCTTGAAAACAGATGCACCAGCCGCAGCCATTGCATTATTCAAACCATTTCCCTTTAAATTTGTATCAGCTTCCCTTATAAGTGTACAGCTGATATTTTTTCTTTGTTAGCTCGATCAACAGTAGCATCCAAAGACAGTGGAAGTGAGTAAGTGAGTCACTCTGCCCAGTTACACCTACAACTTGAGTAGTCTTAGTAATAGCTGTTTCAACAGGAACCAAAGTGGTGCCAGCAAACCTATGAGGCAGTGACCTTTTGTGCCAATGTGTGTTGGCAGCAGCTCACATAATATTTTTAAATCTGGTGCACCTGGGGATAGTTTAATCATAATAGCCTGATGTAAACCTTCCTCAATGGCAAATTGTTGGCGTTCTTCAATGGTGAAAACAACAGTGGGCTCTCCATGTATGATTTGGACAGGTTTTATCGTTGCTTTTGTAGCTGTTTTGGATGAGATTTGTGCAGCATATGTAGGTTTAGTTAAAGGCTCTCCCATAACCAAAGGCTGGGGAGAGGATGATGCATCCATGGAAGGTTTTGACACACCATTGCTGTACAAGAAACAGAAGAAAGCAGCAACAACGATGTTCCCTGAAAACAGAACTGGGCGCTACAGTGATCGCCGAACTATTTTCAAGATCTGTTACAGATGGATATGGATTTGGGGATGAAACCAATTGGGGATTGTGCGCAAAGACTAGGAGCTTCTTTTGAGACCAAATTTGTGAGATTCCACCGCCGGATGGCGGCGTAGTGCCCTCCGCAAATCTGCGGCGCTACTGTTCACTCGAGTCTCTAGAGAGAAGCCTAGTTTTGTACTGTCTAGGCAGAACATGGATTTTCTTCGGGCAGAAAGTCACATTTTCACTCGCTCAGTTTTTGCTTGACCTGGGTTTTACAAGGTAAAATGAATAAATGTTGAGAGCTTTGTAATCAGCAGTCCTTTTAAAAGAAAAAAGGAAACTGTTAATGAGCAGTGATCTGTGTCACTGCAAATATTCCTGTTTCAACCTGTTGGGTAGTAAGTTTAAGGATTCTCACAGTACCTTATATGTGTTTAGTTCATATTTGTCTATGTTACTCCAACAAATTATTTTTTGTATGTAAGATTACTGTTGTATCCTCTTCTTGTCTGCAAAAATGATTGAAGAATTAATTGGCCGAGGATAGCAAATTGATGTCGTATATTTCACTTGTGAAGTTGGACTTACTGATAGGTTCCCTCTTGTTTCCCTTATGCAAGCTTATCGAAATGATGCGAAAAAAGCTGGTTCCGCAATTCTAGAAGACCCAAATAATTCTGGTCGAGTTGCGGTATCATCCACTTCTTTTTCTCCTGTTATGTATATTTTTATCCAGCTTTCTGTATCTTGTTTAAATCTTTTCTCCACATTGTCTCAACTATCTTGTTCTATGTTAGTGATAGTTGGCAATATCTGTCCTGACTCTCTTTTTGCTATCCTCTCCCTGCTTATGAATGCAGCCAGGTTCAGTCGTTATTTTTTTTGAATTAATATTGGGTGCTCAGTTTTGCCAAGATTTGCATATTTCCCTTTGTTCTTGGAGAGGGTCTAGACATAGTCAGAAGTGTTGCCTAATCATTTGACTTAATGTTGGAAGAAACTTTAGTTTCTCTCGCACCATTTATGCCATTGACGAAAGACTTAATTTGAACTTTTAGCATCGACATGTTGACAGGTTTGGATTCTTCATTCTTTTTAACACTTGTGATTTCTTGTTAATTATATTTTAGGTTAGTTTAACACTTTATTAATTTGGTAATTAATTTGAAACGGCTGCTGATTGTGTATTCTCATTGTAGTCGCTTGTCCTCTTTGAGAAATTTATCCTTGTTTTAAGAACTTTTCTGGCTTGTAGTGGTTTAAAGATTTTTTCATTTGTACATCGTGCTACAGTTCTAGTGTCTGTTTTTAGGAGTAGTTAAAAATAGTGTCATGCAATTTGGATGGGTATATTTATAGACATTGTGATCCTTCGGTTCTTTGTAATGAACAATGAAATTTTTTTGAGTATGAATTTTGATTATTTGGTATATTTTTAGTTGTTGTATATATGTGTGTGAGAAAGCATATGGTAATGATTATTATTGGATAACTACAGAAAAAATATATAAATTGGTGTAATTATATTTATTAAAATTTCACATCAACGAAGGGAAATGTGGTCTTTAAAACTCTTTAACAACAGGATTATCAAATGGTTACATGGGCATTAGCGAAGGGAAATTTGGCAATTTGCGAAGGGAACACCGGTCGCTAAATAGGAACAACGACGGGAAGTTTTCTGGTCGTTAAAGGAATTTAACGACCGCATTCTAATCCGGTCATTAACTTTTAACAACGGAGCCTTTAGCGACCGGCGACGACCGGATTTTATTTGGTCGTTATTGACTTATAGCGACTGGATTTGAACTTTTAACGACTGGATTTCCCTTTGCTAAAAGCCAATTTTCTTGTAGTGTATTGCCATCAGAAAAGAAGGAATACACAGAATTTCTAAAGGAATATGAGGACATATTCGTCTGGTCGTATGACGACATGAAGGGCCTGAGCACATCTATTGTGGCTCACAAACTGCCAACTGATCCAACATGTCCGCCGGTAAAGCAAAAGCTCAGAAAGTTCAAACCTGATATGAGTTTGAAAATCAAGGAAGAAGTCACTAAGCAGGTCAAAGCCAAGGTTCTCAGGGTAGTAGAATACCCGACATGGTTAGCCAACATTGTGCCAGTACCAAAGGACGGGAAGGTCAGAGTCTGTGTCGACTACCGGGATCTCGACCGGGCCAGTTCGAAAGACGACTTTCCTTTACCAAACATACACATCCTGATCGACAATTGCGCCAAGCATGAGTTGCAATCGTTTGTGGATTGTTTTCGCTGGTTATCAAAGATTGGATGGATGAAGAAGATGCTAAGAAAATAGCTTTCATTACGCGTGGGAATGTACTGCTACAAGATGATGCCGTTTGGCCTTAAGAATGCAGGGGCCACCTACATGAGGGCCATGACTACCATTTTTCAATATATGATACACAAGGAGATTGAGGTGTATGTGGATGACGTTATCATCAAGTCTAAAGAAGGCCACTAATCACATGGAAGACTTAAGAAAGTTTTTCAATAGATTGCGAAGGTACAACCTGAAACCGAATCCCGCGAAGTGTGCATTTGGGTTCCTGCCGGAAAATTACTTGGGTTTATTATGAGCCGCTGAGGAATAGAATTGGACCCATCAAAGGTCAGGCCATTCAAGAACTTCCACGGCAAAGAACAAGAAGGATGTGATGAGTTTCTTGGGAAGACTTAGCTACATCAGCCGGTTCATAGCACAATCTACAGTTATCTGTGAGCCAATCTTTAAGATGTTAAAGAAGGACGCCGCACCAAATGGACTGATGACTGCCAGAGAGCTTTTGACAAAATCAAGGGATACTATCAACACCACCAGTCTTGGTCCGCCTGAGCTAGGTAGACCCTTACTACTTCTACCTCGCAGTATTGGATGGTGCCTTCGGTTGCGTCTTGGGGCAGCATGACAAACAGGGAGAAAGGAACATGCCATTTACTACCTCAGCAAAAAGTTCACTCCGTACGAGGCCCGGTATTCTTTGTTGGAGCGCACATGTTGTGCTTTGACTTGGGTAGCCCAGAAGCTGAGACATTACTTCTGTGCCTACACTACATATCTTATAATATCGCCCTTTGAAGTACATCTTTCAGAAGCCCATGCCCACTAGTAAGTTGGCCAAGTGGCAAATTCTGTTGAGTGAATTCGACACTGTCTATGTAACTCAGAAGGCAATCAAGGGACAGGCACTAGCAGATCATCTTGCCAAAAACCCCGTGGATGGAGAATACGAACCCCTAAAGAACGTATTTTCCTGATGAGAGGTATCATTCATAGGAGAAGACGTTGCAGAATCCTATGATGGGTGGAGAATGTTTTTCGACAGAGCAGCAAATTTCAAAGGAGTTGGCATAGGAGCAGTCCTAGTATCGGAAATCGGTCAGCATTATCCGGTGTCTGCTAAACTCAGGTTCCTATAGCACCACAATATGGCCGAGTAGAAGCCTGCATCTTAGGGCTCAAGATGGCTATTGACACGAGCGTACAAGAGTTGCTAGTAATTGAGATTTCAGACTTGCTCATACATCAGGTCCGAGAAGAATGGGCCACCAAGAACTCAAGATATCCCGTATCAGCATCACATCAAGAGTTGAGAAAGAGTTTCACAAAGACAGAATTCCGACATGTTCCAGAATCCAGAATGAAGTTCGCCGATGCATTGGCTACCCTGTCATCCATGATACAACATCCAGACAAAAACTTCATTGATCCATTCTAGTAAAGATCCACGATCAGCCAGCTTATTGTGCCATGTTGAAAAGAAGCAGATGGAAAGCCTTGGTTTCATGATATTAGGGAATATTTGACAAGAGAGAAATACAGCAGAACTTGCAAATCCTACTCAAAAGTGCACTTCGGAGGTTATCAACAACTTCTTTCACAGCGGAGGAATCCTGTACAGGAGGAACCCCTGATTTGGGATTATTAAAGGTGTGTCGACGCAAAGTAAGCATCCAGACTACTAGAGGAGATTTCACGTTGGGACCTGTTGTCACATATGAACGGTTTTGTTTTAGCAAGAAGATACTCCGGGCTGGTTACTTTTGGATGACTATGGAACGGACTGCATCAATATTTTCGGAAATGCCGCCATTGCCAGATACATGCAGACATGATAAAGGTGCCACAAATGAGCTTAATGCAACAAGCTCACCATGGCCTTTTCGCCGCCTGGGGAATGGATGTTATTGGACCAATCGAAACCGACCGCTTCCAACGGGCAAGGTTCATCCTAGTAGCCATTGATAATTTCACCAAATGGTCGAGGCAGCATCTTACAAAGCAGTGACTAAGAAAGTCGTGGCAGACTTCGTCGCGCCGTATCGTCTGTCGGTTCGGGATTCCAGAGTCGATCATTACTGATAATGGCTTCCAACCTCAACAGTGACTTAATGAAAGCTATGTGTGAAACCTTCAAAGTCAAAAACAAGAATTTAACAACATACAGGCCTCAGATGAAAGGAGCCGTAAAGCCGTCATATAAGAATAATCAAGAAAGATACTGAGGAAATGATAGAGAAGCATAAGCAATGGCACGA